TGGAACAACACTTTTTGGCCAATTATTACTCGTCTTCGAACCAACTCTTAAGACTAGTCGATCTCATTATGAAAGACAACGATTTGGTTATAAACATAATGTATGAGTTGAATGCTCTGCCGCTCGCACTCCAGATCACGTCCATTGCGGGCAATCTGTTGTCTCGAACACTGCTCGGCGGTCGCTCTGAACGTAACGAGTATTTACTTCTTCACGCGTTTCACGAGAAAAATTTCATTTCTCCCGACAAAGTGTTCTCCAATGCAAAGCCATTAGATTTCTATGACATGGATTTTAATGGCGAATCCATGCCGAAGAAGGCGACGGCTTCGCGCCAGAAGAAGGCCGCCTATACGGGTGGTCTGGTCTTAGAGCCAAAAGTGGGATTCTATGACAGATATATACTGCTTATGGACTTCAATTCGTTGTATCCGTCAATCATTCAGGAATTCAACATTTGTTTCACAACTGTATCCCAAACTGAGCCCAAAGACGATGAGAATGAGACGCCGGAAGAATTCATACCAGAGCTGCCGAACGAAGGACTTCCCGAAGGAATACTTCCGAACGAAATCAAGAAATTAGTCGAAAGTCGACGCGAAGTGAAGAAACTGATGTGTAATCCGGATTTGACGCCAGATCTGAAACAACAGTACGATATCCGACAGAAAGCGCTCAAACTTACGGCCAATAGTATGTACGGGTGTCTGGGGAAGTCAGTGAGCGCTAAGATGCGGTTTGGCAACCGGCGAAACCAATGCAAGTTTCCCGCTCTCTAAGAGTACTTATGGTTTGTTAACCACCTCTTCTAGCCAGACCTTCACTATATGCCGCTGTGCCATTCGATCATGATTTTGACCAATTGTACCAATTTTAACGATGTAAAGGCCATCGGCAACAGAGTTCAGGCGGAAGTGAACAAATTGTATCGACTCCTGGAGATAGAGATCGACGGTGTGTTTCGATCGATGCTTTTGCTTAAGAAGAAGAAATACGCGGCGCTTACCGTTCAAAAGGCGGCCAACGGTGAGCTGTCGTACGTGAAGGAAGTGAAGGGCTTGGATATCGTGCGACGCGATTGGTCTATACTCGCGAAGAAGGCCGGAGAGCGCACTCTCGATGAGATTCTGTCGACCGATAAGTCACGGCCAACGGTGAGCTGTCGTACGTGAAGGAAGTGAAGGGCTTGGATATCGTGCGACGCGATTGGTCTATACTCGCGAAGAAGGCCGGAGAGCGCACTCTCGATGAGATTCTGTCGACCGATAAGTCGAGTGAATTAATTGTCGATAACATTCATAATTATTTGAAAGAGCTGTCGGAGTGTATCCGTCGGTACGAACTGCCGATCGAAGAGTTCGTAATCAGCAAATCGTTGACTAAGAATCCAGAAGAATATCCCGATAAGAAGGGCTTGAGTCACGTGAGCGTTGCCCTCAGATATAACGAGTCGTCTAAGGCTAAGAAGTTGAGGAATGGAGACACTGTTCCGTACGTGATATGCGAGGACAACAGCGGACGACCGGCCACTCAAAGGGCCTATCATTGCGATGAACTCAAAGAAAAAGATCTCAAAATTGATGTCAAATATTATTTGAGTCAACAATTACTTCCCGTTGTGTCCAGACTTTGCGAACCCATCGATGGAACCGATTCTCATATTTTGGCCGAATTTATGGGAATTGAATCGAATGTGAAATTTAATAACCAATCGCTTCTGGAGGTGGAGAATGCCATCCATAGTGGAGAACATAAATACGATTCGTGCAAACCTTTGCTAATGAAATGCGTGAACGAGAGCTGCTGTAAAGAGATAGCGATTACGAAACTCTTTAAAACTATTGATAATAATGTCGAACAAAATGCGACCGAAAGTGACAAGAGTTTGAGTAAAAAACGTTTGGATCTCACGTTTAGTCGCTGTCCCGACTGTAACGTTGAGTTCACGGAACTAATGGCTCCTAAATTTGAGGTTCAGATCCGACGCTTTATTAACCAATTTGTTGCACACTTTTACCAGAAATGGATGATATGTGACGACCAGATGTGTTCGCATAGGACTCGCTATTTGACGGGAAGGCTGTCCAAAGTGGGCCCTCTCTGTCCCAAATGCAAGTCTGGAAATCTGTGTCCAGAAGTATATAATTTATATATTTTGTTATTCCTTTTATAAACTCATAATTTTTTTTGTTTTATTTGACAGATAAGTGAATTCCAACACAACCTTCAGTTAACATATTTCAAACATCTCTTTGATTTAAACCCATCGTTAAAGCGTTTGATTACTGAATCAGATAAATGTATTACACATTCATTTTGAACAATATAAGCGAATATTTCTAATAAATTTGTATGCATTAAACATATTTCAAACATCTCTTTGATTTAAACCCATCGCTAAAGCGTTTGATTACTGAATCAGATAAATGTATTACACATTCATTTTGAACAATATATGCGAATATTTCTAATAAATTTGTATGCATTTTGCAGCGGATGGCAAACTATTGAAGGCACGGTTCGGTCCGCTATACGATCGACTCCGACAAGTGGTTCAAACATATTTGGACGCAAACTCTTATAATGAAATTGATTTGAATTATTTGTTCCGCAAATTACGGCCAAAGAATTCAATGAAATAATGAAATTCAATTGTAATTCAGTTTATTTTCACCATTTTTATACATTTACGTATATATTCATCTAAAGGCACATATTGTTTATGAATTTTATATGTAATCACAATATTATTGTTAACATTAAAGACCAATAAATTTGTCAAATAACTTATTTTTATTACCAATTTATAAATTACTATTTTACTGAAAATATTCATTAATTAAATGTCATATTTATTAGTAGTTTTAGCATAAAACTTGTACTTTAATTACAAACAAAACAATAAGTTATTAAATATAGCTTTTTCTGTATGTTTTTTCGAATAGAAATAATCGGTTGAAAATAGCAATCTATAGAATTTATAAATTAAAAAATCCTAAACATATTTAACATCATTTTCAGCACTTATTAATATTCGTAAACAACTCATAAAAATCTGTTCAAACATTAATACAATCCAAAAATATTAATCTCGTTTTCATATAAATTATTTGTTTCTTTTTTATAATACAATTAAAAAATATTTATAATTCCATAAATTATATTCACTTTCAATGACTTATATTAATGTATTCCTGTATTGTGTCATAAAAATGTATTATCTATTGATAGACACCATTAGTTGTGACATGTGGTGCATCTGAATGTACGACATGTTATGCCAAAGCAAAGACATGACTGCATTCGATGGCCTGAAGGAGTTTGTGCCGCAACTTGTCTTCGTTGGAATAGTGTTCGGGCAGATCGAGGACATTGAAGCACGTGTGCGCCACCGGCAAGTGCTCTTCACTCACTTTCATGGGTTGGATCGCAAGCTATGATATCAACAATTCATTATACGCTTATTGTTTCTACAATTGTATTCAAATATATCTTACATTCAGAGCTTTCATTCCAAGAATAGGTATTCTATCGCTTCCAGTGAGGAATAGTAAGAATTTCTTCTTCTGTTCATTGGTTAGCGAATGGAAGACATTCCAGAATTTAACGATTGTTGGATGCGATTCGCTGAACGGTTCCTTGTATTTGGTGGCAGATGTTTGCATCACTTGCCAGTCGAACACCTCCTGACCGGACACTAATTGCATGAGTTCTTCGGCGTGGAAGAGAGACAACACTCCCGAATCCAACACTCGATTAAAACCGGCCTTAAAATGCTTGAACTTCTGTTCGACCGAAACGTTCAAAATGTAATTCCAATACAGGTTTACGTAATCTTTCCTATTATTGTAATTCAAAGTCTTCTTTTTGCCACCGCTTTCGAGTTCAAACTCAACCGCAGATCCAAAACAGGTTAACGTAATCGTGAAGTTCAGGTCACTATAGATAGCGTTGAACTCGTCCTCCGAGTAAGTGGTGTGAAGAATGTCGCGAAGATTTTTGGTCAGAATCGGATCCAAACAATTGAGATCTTCTAAATGCAAGCTTTCGTTCAATAGTTTCTTATAGAGAACCAAAGGAAAGGGCAGATAAATGATGACCTGATTATAGATAGCGAGACCGCATATAATGCCAATTAGGCTATAATTGATGAGCTCGTCGTTGTCGACGCCGTCGCCCGGATTGAACCAAATGCTGTTCGTCTCGTCATAATCGCAAAACATTCCGTACTTTTTGTCCAAAACCTCTTTCATCAACAATAGGAAGAACTCTTTCTTCATACCGATGCCGGCGTCGATCGCTTCCTCGCCTTCAAAGTTCACTTTCAACGGCTTCTTGAAGTCATTTCCGTGACTCTGACTCTTATAACACAATTGGTTTATTGTTTGCTGTAATATATTGTTTCGGTCGACGGACAGCACTAAATACGGCGTCTGAACGAGAAGTGTGTTTCCCATTATAATCGGTTGCAAAAGACTCCTATAGACCGAGTTCTCGATCGCTTCGTTTTGTTGTATTTTCGAGTCGATGGTCAGAATCTGTGTCTTCGCCGGCGGATCAAAGATGAAGGCGTAGTTACACAGGTATAGAGGCCTGAGACCAGCCATTCGGCCCATATGTCCCGATCGGTACACAAGCCATTCAACGTAATCCCTCTCCACGTCAATCATTTCACTGATATTTTCTATATAGAAGTCTTTATACGAGATTTTGCTATACATTTGGTTCACTTTATTCAGAAGCGCCAAAAAGTCAAGACTCAGGCCTAACGTGTCGTGAAGTTCGGAGTCGATTACTCTCTGCTGATGCGCTCCGTCCGCACCCGAAGACCTGCTCTCAAACTCTTTGTTTTGATTGTTTTGACTCTCAAACACTTCTTTCATATAATTCTTAACGTTATGAATGAGTTGACGGAAGTGTTTGGTCTCCAATCGGCCGAACCATTGCTTAATCACATCACTGGCCGAGTCGTGCAAACGAAGAACGGCTCTCATGTATCCACAAATCAGTTTTCGCATCGCTTCGGCATTTTTGTAGTCAGTTCTGAACGGATGAAACAGTGTTAACAACATATAGATTCGGAGCACTTCCGGATCCAATGAGCTGTCGTCGTCGATGTCCGGCAAACCCGGTATTACTTTAAGTATTGATTGATAAATAAGTTCTTTGATTCGACTGTTTTTGGCCTTTTCAATGAACTCGAAGGCCGTTCGCGCGGAACTCCAATCGATCGACGGTAAGACAGAGTCACCGGTGATCTTGTCGTCGATGAAACTCGAGTTCCAGCAGGAGATTGAGGTGAAGGCGCTCTCGATATAGTCGATGTCATCAGAAGATATGTTGTTGTCTTCAAGAGTTTCATTCAGTTTTTGTAATCTTTTTGTATCCAATTTGTAAATCTCATCGAAACTCTGGTTATATCTGAAGTCAATCGGATAGTTGTTATCGTTTAATCTCACAACTAATACAAAACTTTGATCCCCTTTTGAGGCAACAATTTCTTTGACGACTAGTTGTTGTCGTTCTGTATTGAGTTGACTGTCAGAGTCGGGATCCGATTGGTATTCATTGATTTCGATGGAATCGGGTTTTGTGGACACTATTAGATCGGAAGTACAGATAAATCCTGGTTTTAATACAGTCTCTTTAGAGTATTCGTCGGGCTCTTCAATAATGGCCTCATCTGAAGACATCATGTCTGCGATGTCTTTGTCGCTATCATCGCAATCAGACAACTCGTCGATCGACATCTCACAGCTGTCGTCGTCTTCTCCACGTCTCGGCGGACTCTTAGGCTTCTGAGGGCTCTTAGCCTTTGATCGCCGCCTTCGCGATGCCTTTGGCGAAGAATTTGATGACTGATTATCAGTGACGACCGGCAATAGAGAACCGGCGGCGTTGCGGACACAGACGTCCTTCACGCCCAACTCCGCCCACTTTCCCGACACATGGTTTGGCACACTTTTGCTCGTTTGAGTCCCGATCCCGAGCTGTCCGGAACCGTTCAGTCCGAACGAATACAATCGGCCGTTGGAACCAATGGTGGCCAACGTATGGCATCGGCCGCAAGACACTTGTGTGACCACATTTCCCATCAATTCAAACACTCTTCGGGGAAGTATTTCGTTGTTGTTCTTCGCGTGACCCAATTGCCCGTACATACCGGCGCCCCACGAGAATAGGCCGCCATCGGCGGTCAGCGCCACCGTATGCTCTTCGCCGCAGTCGATGAAAGAGATTCGTTGTGACCGAAGAGTGGTCTGAACGGTGGGAACTAATCTGTTTTGCATATCATTCAGGCCTAACTGACCGAATTCATTCTTCCCCCACATATATATCGCACCCGTATATGAAAGTAGCGCCGAATGAGAGCCACCGCAAGACATTTGCCGGATCGGAACCGATCGCAGAGACAGTATCTCTATTGGGCTGAACAGCAAATAATTGCAATTACTTTGTTATCGTTTTAATTGGGTGTTCATTAAAGCCATTACCTGTTCTCACAGTTGCCTTTCACACCGTTTCCCAACTATTCAAACAAATCATTCAATTAAAAGACAATACCAAAGACTATGAAAGGGATGACAATACCTGTCCGAAAGCATTGGAACCCCAGGAATAGATACTGCCGTCTGTAATGGTATTCACAAATGTCAGACAACTGTTTCAAAACAATTGCAAAACAAATCAATCGCTTACTTATAGTGAGCGCCAAACTATGATTTCCGCCGCAAGCGATCTGAACCACCATTTCTGCGGCCAATCTCTTCACTAACGACGGCTTTGGCACCGATTCGTCCACTTTATTACCGATTCCTTCGCCAATCAGAGAGAAAGTACACAAAATGAGTGACGACTACACGAAGAAGCGGTGGACACGAGAGGAGACACTCACCCAACTGTCCGAATAGATTACAACCCCAGCCGAACATCTGTCCGGCGGACGTGAGGGCGAGTGAGTGGTTGGCGCCGCAGCACAGCCTCACGACCACGTGTTTGTCGATGCCGTCAACGGTGTCGAAGCGACGCCAACTGCCCTCTCGTCCCAATTGGTGTCTCTCATTGGAGCCGCAGCTCAACACAAGCGACGTGTCGTCCAACGGGTTGGCCAACAGTACGAGCGTATGGTTACGACCGGACGACAGCTGACGGATGGCATACTTGCGGCCATCGATCGCCACTTTCTGTTTGCGCGGCAGAAGGATGTGCTCGTCTTCGATGCCACCCAAACCCAGCTCTCCATTGCATGTATTGCCCCAACAGAAGACACGGGCCATCACTCGCCGATCACTTCTTCACCACTGATGGCGATAACGAGTTGACCGCAAAAACGGACGACAAAAGTATTGACACAACGAGAGAAAAGTTTGCGTAAGAGTTGTGTTGACACGAAAAGAGCGGACCATTAGTTCGTGTTTTGCTATCAGTTTTCAATAGAGTTGTTGTCGTGTTTTGAGTACTGAATGTTTGGTGTAATCAAAACACTCATCAGTTTTGCAGTTTTGCCTCAAATCAGTGTTCAATTGTATTCTCGAATATTCACTCACTTTCCACACAAACTGTGCGTCACTTTGAATGCATTGAAAGCACTGCACATCTCATTGCCATTCACTCCATGTGTTGTCGATGAGTACAGGCGTTGAGCGGCGCTATAACTCATACACCGCTCACTCATTCACTACTCTATACGGCATTCAATGCACTCAAACATATTCCAGAATATTCCATATATTATTAGCATTGCATTCACGCTATGATTGCATACTTTTAAAGTTTTAGTGCATTTGAGTTCTACTTTTTTTATGGAAATTAAGTTAACATAACAATCACTGAACACTGGATTCAATGCATACAAGTATTGCGATATCATATTCAATCAATTATATATAAATGGGAGATATTTTAGTAGTTTAACAACTTTTTAAATTATTTTGAGAACTAATTTTGCACTTTTGTTAAGGAATTCATTTATACTGATTGTGTATTAAATACAAATATTTTATACAAAAAGTTAATTAATTTAATTTTTGTAATAAAATTTGTTATAAAATTGAATACAATTAGTGTGTAATCACTTTTTTACGACCAGATTTTCAGTATCAATATCTTTAGGATCAGTTTGTGAGTCCATTGGTTCGACTTTGAGATCCGTTTGTGTATTCATTGATTCAATTTTGGGACCACTTTTTCGGTCCTTATTTTTCACATCATTTTCAATGGCTTTTTTGAGTCTTTCTTTTTCTAAACAAATAATATTAAGAAAATGATTAAAATACAAATTACACGTAAATGTATCGCAAACTTTTGAAATATTCAGTTCCTATGGTTATAACGAGAATAACGGAGACAAGAGATCCGATGACAAAGAAGAAGAAGAATCCGTAAGAAATGAGGAATTGTTTCATAACAGTCATATCAGTAGTCATTTCACTGTTTGCCGTTTCATTTGCTTTATTAGCTCGATATCTAACGTCGAGGAATGCAAACCGAAGATCGGGTTCAGACCGAGTGCTCGTCTCCAATGATCTAATAGTTGTCTCATTTTGTCTAACCTTTGTTTCATTTTGTCTAACATTTGTCTCATTTTTATCCAATTGATTATTTAAAGTGCCATTTGTTTGAACGGGTATTGCATTTACTCTCCCATTGTCTTCGAGTCCGACATCGATGTAAAGACAAACAATTGTCTGTAAAATCAATAAATACATGGATTTTGTGCACATATTTGAAACTGAAATGAAATGATAACTTATTTAAACGTTTTTATGTTTATATTTGAAGGTCTAACCTTTATTATTACCACGTTCTCATGGTTTATAATTATAATTTAAAGTACAATTTAAACTTCAAAACTTGAAACCGCTTGGATATCTATAAAACGTGATAAAATAACCCTTACGGGTGTTTTTTTAATGATAAAAGGTTTTAAAAATACATTAATGACAAAAGTTTTCAATAAGTTTTACCATTAAAAAAGTATTTGTAAACAATATTTGTCATAAATTATTCACATTTTAATTTATATTATTGTAAATTCCATAACATTTTATTTTAATTGTTTTTAAAAATTTTGAATTATTTTAATTTTAAAAGTAATCGATCGCAAAACAGTCGACAAAAAGCACAGCACAGGACAGACGGTCACAGGTTTGGGGTTCGGCTCATCTCTTCAGACTCGACCGACCGCTCGACACACAGTCTGGACCCGCGATTCACGACTGATTTCAAGCTATACACGCGTTGGGATCACTGCAAACACCGGTAGTAATGCCGACGGGTTTGGGCTATAACTGTCACCCAAAGCCAGTACTGGAGTCAAAACCAGGACTGGTTTGGGCGCAGACATGTCGGGCCAACTGTCCTCACATCGCAACGCCGACACTGAGTCGCACCGGTAGTCGAGCGCTTCCGACCACTTGGAAGGGATGGCCGGACACCAGACCTGTGGCCGACAGTCGAGCGACTCTAACGACTCTAAACAACCTGAGAGGGGGTGGAGTTCGACCACCACATCAAAAAGCGAGGGGT